AGAGCGCATAGCCGTGCTTCATTTGGTAATGCGTGCATTTCGTGGCAGCAGTCGCAGCGCACTGATTTTGTCGTGCCTTATTTTCACTGCTTGAGCCTCAAACGACCGAGCCGACCAAATACGACCGGTCGCTTCAGCCCATTTTTTTGGTGTTTAAAAAGTTTATTCTACATGTCTAGTCTATGTGTTCTATGGTTAGTGCTTATATCGTAAAAAAAGGTAGTTTTTATAAAATAAAAAAAAGTAAAGCTCTTTTCCTTTTATACTTCTCTTTGTACTTATTTAAAGACTACGAATAAAAAATTTAAGCAAATGCATATTTAAAAATTATAAAAATTTAATTTATTAAATTCCATTCAGAGGTCTATTTTTAATATATAATACATAACCAAAATAATGATCTTAAAGCTTTAATTATAAAATATACTTACGTCAGTTAGTCATAGATCCATTTTCTTTCTTTCTTAATTCATTGAAACTAAAACAATAATAAAAACAATTGCCTCCATGGCACTAAGACAAAACCCATTGATTCTTATTCAGAAAAGTTAGCTTGTTAGACTAATACGACTTTTATAAAATTTTGCAAAATTTCCGAAATGTGCTCTTACACAGTCAAAACCAACGCCAACAGTAACCATTTTTTCGTTATATCGATACTAAGAAACCCATATCGATGTTTTTCCAAAATTCCAAAATATCGACTATATCTATACCGATCCGATATATTTGCAGCACTACGTCTAATTGAGAAACGTATATGCATTGAAATTCACTCGCATAAGATTAAGGTAGGTGAAGAAATGACGTCATAGTAAGTGTAATAATTACCTTGCATAAAAACATTAATATTAACCATACACCAGCAAGGTAAAAATTTATGTGCATATGTATCATTGTATTCTAAACATAAATTTACATTATGCATCCCAATAGGCGATACATTTTTTACTACGGATTGTATGTATATGTACATGTGTATGTGTCTGATAACATTAAAAATTATAATATCTATAATTCCTTTTTGTAAATAACTTCAACGAATAGTCTTCTTAATCTTCTTTCTTTCAGGAACTAAATTTGTTTTTAAAATGACACTAGACGATCCGCAAAACGATATACAAACGAATACTCAGAGAAACGAAACAGCAAAAAAACGAGCACAGTTACAAACGAATCAGAATTATCAGCCGATGGAAAGTGAGAAATTGGATAAAAACAATATAACGGTAAATCATCAAAAACAGGTAATTATTTTGTTAAATATAGATTTATATATGTATAACTATTTGTTATTTGTACTCAAATAACCGTAATTGAAAGTCGGTTGCTCTGCTAGTTGAGCTACCATTCACAGATGAGATCACTCCCACACACATGTAAATACACACTATTGTACATACATACATTGAGGAAGGAATGTTACCAGCCGCTCCATCCATCCGATACTTAATTGATCGCAATATTCTACGATGCGTCGCGACCTTTCCGAAAATCACTCACATGTGTGTGTGATTACAAAAATTGCGTTTTATTATGATCATCTAGGCCGATAAAGTTTAATTTCATTATATGGATGTTAAATTTACCTAATTTATACAGAAAATTATTTTTTATTTCTTTAGATTTAGTTTTTATTTAGTATTTTGTCAAGTCGGAAAATATCACATACAGCTGCGAAAAATAAAATATCACCACTTGCAAATGCAAATTTTAAGAAGTTCTCCTAAGTACATTTTTCAAAAAGTAGATCAATACATTGATAAATGTACCTAGGAGAACTTCTTAAACTTTGCATTTTCAAGTGGTGCTATATTATTTTTCGCAGCTGTATGTATATCCTTAAGCTGATGTCAGAGTGGCGGCGATAAGCGAAGCGATAATATGGAGCGACAATAAGCGAGAAAGCTCAACATGCAGATTTACATGTAATCGCTTAACAAATGTCAATCAATGTTCTGAGCTTAAATAACCGTTGGTTAGTAGGTGCAATATATTCTTTTTGGCAATTCAAGCAATATTTCTCTCTTTCACTCTGACATGCCATCGCTTTGCAGATCGCTGTGATAATTGTCGCTTATAGAATCGCATCGCTTATCGCGGCCACTCTGACATCACCTAAATTGCATCAAAGAAATATCGATATTGGCATTCTTCATGACAAAAATAAAATGATCCATATATATTTGAATTTTTCAAGAATGATGCTACCATATCATTTTTACGAGCCGCTCGAAGTGGAGATCTGGGCAAGGTACTGGAATTTATAGATAGTGGACTTATAACGAACATAAACACGTGCAATGCGGTAAGGCTTATAATGTTCTTGTTATATTGTATATGAAAGGATAACAAAGGTTGCTGATCAATGTCTAGAGATTCAATAGTTATCATAGCTATTTTTTGTGTTTTATAATACCTAAAATCACTATTGAAAATAGTTTTCTTTTCTGCCAGCTGCTTTCTCGTAAAAATGTAATCTCAATCTCACAGCTCTTTGTAAAAATCGTTTTAGATAGTTTTCGCACTCTTTGAAAGATTTCTAAATTAATAAAGACCTCAACGTTCAACATAGATTTATTATTGTAATATATATTTTGATAAATTTAGGATAAAAATACAGAATTTTCCAAATGGATTTAAAAAAAATATTTATTTCAATAATTTGAATTACAAGAATAAAGAGATTTAATCTTGAATCTATTTTTACGAAAATGGAGGTTACAGAACAGAACAATTGCGAACCCCATATTTTGAAAGCGAATTTAAATCGCAATCTTAATATAGAGTTTCTTTGATTATCTTCAACTTAGAATGGGTTAAATGCCCTGCACCTTGCGGCCAAGGATGGATATGTGGACATATGCAACGAACTCCTTAAGCGCGGAATTTTGGTAGACAGTGCGACGAAAAAAGGAAACACTGCCCTACATATAGCTTCGTTGGCTGGACAGCAGCAAGTGATAAAACAACTAATCCAATACAATGCGAATGTCAATGTGCAGTCGTTAAACGGCTTTACACCTTTATATATGGCTGCACAGGAGAACCATGATAGCTGTTGCCGTCTGCTACTAAGTAAGGGTGCCAATCCATCCCTCGCTACGGAAGATGGTTTCACACCTCTCGCTGTGGCCATGCAACAAGGTCATGATAAAGTGGTCGCCGTGCTCCTCGAAAGCGATGTTCGTGGCAAGGTGCGTTTGCCGGCCTTACATATTGCAGCGAAAAAGAATGACGTTAATGCGGCTACATTGCTGTTAAGGCATGATAAAAACGCCGATATTGTATCCAAGTCAGGCTTTACACCACTTCACATTGCTGCCCATTATGGGAATGTGGACATTGCTAACGTGTTGCTCGAATGCGGCGCCGATGTCAACTACGCGGCAAAACATAACATAACACCGTTGCATGTTGCCTGTAAATGGGGAAAGGCAGCAGTATGCAGACTTTTGCTCGCGAAACGAGCCCGAATTGATGCCATAACTCGAGATGGACTTACACCATTGCATTGTGCGTCGCGATCTGGACATGTTGAGGTCATACAGCTCTTACTCTCTCAACATGCTCCAATATTGTCGAAGACAAAAAATGGATTATCTGCTCTTCATATGTCAGCGCAGGGAGAACATGACGAGGCAGCCCGTTTGCTACTCGATTACAAGGCACCCGTTGACGAAGTGACAGTTGACTATTTGACAGCTCTCCATGTGGCCGCCCACTGCGGCCATGTGCGAGTGGCTAAATTATTGCTGGACTATGGAGCGAATCCGAACTCCCGAGCACTCAATGGATTTACGCCCTTGCACATTGCCTGCAAGAAAAATCGCATTAAGGTGGCGGAATTGCTGATTCAACATGGCGCCAATATTCGGGCCACCACTGAATCCGGTTTAACGCCGTTACATGTAGCCAGTTTTATGGGTAATTATACATATATTCTATCCCTGAATGCGAAATCTAATAGATTTTCCTTTTTAGGCTGCATGAATATTGTTATTTACTTGTTGCAACACGATGCTAGCCCCGACATGCCTACCATACGCGGCGAAACGCCTCTTCATTTGGCTGCACGCGCAAATCAGGTTTGTCCATGTTATTTATGTATATTTATAAGGAATCAGTGTAACAAGCAAAAGAGGAGCGGCACTAAGACATGTCCGCTTGTTTCTCCGTATGTGTGAGCTAGCTGACTTCAGAAGATATCTTATATCTTGAAACTTCAATCTTTTGTAGGTCCGTACACTGCTTGCGCAGATTAAGTTCTGTTTTCCAGTTTTCTAGTTTTAAAATTTTACATAGTTACTTAGATGAAGTCTATAGAGCAAGAACTTTTTATATATTTTTGAGACCGGATACAAATTTGACCAAACTCCCTTTTGAAGGTCATTTGAGTTTACATTTTCATAAAATGTATAATTTTCAAAAGAATATGTAGATCCGATGCTGAAAGTACCTTAACCGAAACATTTAGCAATAGATGCAATGACGAATGACGATTATTCAACCATTGCTTGGGTTTTTTCTGTGGAGCCCTAGCTCGTTTTCACTACTCTTTTTGCAAGCAGTATAGTAACGTTCTCTCTCTGTACTGAACTCTCTAGCTCTCTTTCCCTGAACCCATTGAAAATGGGAAATGGGAAAGGGTATAATGCTTTTATGAAAAAGTATATAACGGGCAGCAGAAG